CAAGGGCCCTAAGGCGGGCCCCTGTTTGCTCATCTGGCCGTAATTAAATGCCTAAAGTCCTTGAGCTTTCCGGGGCTCTGCCCTCTGGACTCAACCAAGGGGCCTCAGGCGGGTCCCTAGATGCGTAATTTGGTGCCTAAAAGCCCTTCCGTTATGTATTTCTTTGTCTTTCTTTCTCCATATCCTCTGCACTCTCCTTATGTATTTTTTTGTTTTCCCTTTTCTATTACCTTCCCTTCCCTGGGTATACGTGCTTGCACATGTACTATATATGGCTAAACAGTTTTGTAAAAAAAAAATATGCGCGAACGGTCAAGGAGTAAGAAGAAGGCAAAAAGAGAACAAAGACGGCATCCATGGAAGCCATGTGAGAGTGTCCACTTTTTTCACTTTTTACTTTCACCCTTGCATTCTTTCCTGAATCAGAGTTTTCTCACACCTTGTAGACTCGTGCAGGTTATGGTGGTGGTGTGTGTGTGTGTGTGTGTGCGTGTGTGTGTGTGTGTGTGTTTGTGTGTGTACGTTTAACGAAATAACGTATACAATAGCTTGGCAATTCTCATGGTTATGAGATACAATGTAAATGGAAATGAGAGAATAATGGTCGCGTAGCTTAAATCAAAGTTCCCCATTGCAGTCCTCTTTTTTTGATATTTTTGCATTATGTTTTTGTAAGAGGTGTAGCACCAGAAGAAAGAAGACGAAGAAGAAAAGAAACGGGTGAAGAAGGAGATCGGGGGGGGGGGGGGCAAAAGGGCCTTGCCTCCCAGGTTGTTGCACCCCCCCCCCCCTCCAATCAAAAAATAAGAGAGAAGGAAGGAAAGGGAAAGGGTAAGAGGAGATAAAGGGAAGGAAAAAGAGGTAGAAGAAAAGATAAGAAAGGGGATATCATTTGCAATTTTCCCGCCGGTGGATCGAGGGGGGGGGGGCAAAAGGCCCTTAACCCCCCCCCCCCCGCACCCGCTTTAACAAAGAGAGAAAGAAGGAAAAGGGAAAGAGGAGAGCTAAAAGGGAACAAAAAAGAGGAAGAAGAAAAGAAAAGGGTGAAAAGAACAGGAGATCAGTTCCGGTTAATCCTACCAACAACGTGTGGATCGGGGTGGGGGCCGAAAGGCCCTTCCCCCCCCCCCCCCACTCGGCAAACCTTAAGGAGGAGAGAAAGGGAAAGAAGAAAAAATAGAAAGAAGAAAAGGGGGGCACTGGCGTACTGATAGGGGGGGGGGCTTGGGGAAATTCAAATTCAAACGTGGTTTAATTCTAATTCCATAACGGTGGCTTACAAATAATGCTGAATTCTTTCCGCAATGTTTATGAAATTCAATTCCTGTGAACTTTCCTTTTCTTTGAATGGAATTGTTTATGTGATTTAATTCAGGTTTTATTATTATTGTGTTCTTTTGGGTTAAAAATACAAACCATGTTTACTCCTTTACTGCTTTTTTTTTTGGGGGGGGGGGGCAACTTCCCCCCCCCCCCCCCCATGTCCCCCACTTCCGGCGCCTATGGTCATGGAGCTAATCAAAATTGGAAATGGGTAGGTTTGCGAAGCCAATGGGTTGCCCTAATCAGTCATCCATCAATATTGGTTCCTAGTATTATTTGTAAAAAAAGCAACCGAGGAATAAATATTAAATGTATATACATATAGATTGAATCAGCAGAAATATGCATGTATTTCTTAGATGAGAGCAAAGAGTAGGTTTCCCTCACGTGTACCAGCAAAGTGTGTGTCCAGTTTTTGATAGGGCACTGCGTGTCAAGGGAAAGTTGGGGAAACGCACGGCTCTTACTGTGAGTTTAGGGAAGGGGATATTATCGCCTTCTTTTTATGTTCCTCTCCCTTCCTGCTTGTTTTACCACTTTTTTTTAGACTGAGATGGTTCGAGGGATAAAGTCAATTAAGTCTATTAACATTATTGCGATGGATTTGTTACTATTTTATTTTGGTCGTTATCATTATTTATTCTTATTCACAATCTCATGATTATGGTTGTGAAATATGTGAACGGATATGAACGGATATACATTTATTCTATAAATATGGCAATTGTGTAATTTCTATTTTGAGTAGCTCCTTCACATCCCCGATACATGATAACAAATAGTGCCAATAATAAATATATATATATATATATATATATATATATATATATATATATATATATATATATATATGTTATGATTTATTTTGTTTATAAAACAAGATTGAATTTAGATGCTGCTTGTAAGTGTCGGCTTACTCCCGACGACGGATAGTCAACCTGTTCGAAACGTCGAGCAACTCATCCTCTCCAAGCGCTATATTTCTCCTTAGAACTATATGCTAAGAAAGATAACAAACAGTCCTTTTCAGGACTACACATCCCCAAGAAAGATTACCGAGTCAGAGTCCTTTTCAGGACTCCTCAACCCTCTCTCTCTCTCTCACATGGTGCACCCGCAAACCTACTGTATATGAAGATTGAATTTGTTTAATTTATTTAATTGAAAAACTATCACTAGAATGTTTGCTCGTCTCCCTGAGCATATTACTCTGTTTATTTGTATCAATTTTTAGAATTTAGTTTATATCATGGTAACCTCAATTTTTTAACCTTGATTTTTGTCATTATGTGCTGTTGAATTTTAAGCGAATAAAGAACATAAAATGAAAATGAAAACGAAACGATTTTTTTTTTGTCTGTATTTCTAATATTATGTGGTTATTATGCACTTGATGATACAGAGGGGGATATAAAAAGTGTGACAAGCACAAGTTATACATTTATTTCTAACAATAATATTACAAGCATGATAAGTGTGAATTCGAGACTACTTGCTTTAAATGGAAATCAACCATTACTAGAAATGTATCTAACATCATTTATACTTTATACATTTATACTTTGCAAAGAATAAGCACACTTTTTTAGTTCACTTGCATGCAGTTTTAAAAGGCTATAGTGACTTTGAGCATATTCGTTAAACATTTTCAAATACATCTACCATTGACTTGCAGCATTTAGAAAGAACTGTCAGCCTTTATTGTGGTGTGTTAATGTAAATAGTAATTGAATTTGCTCTTTATTTACAATAAATCAGTCAGTCGTATGAATTCGTTACACAAACCTGCACCCTTTGAAAAATATATTTCAATATAAATTCAAAAATAGAAAAGTGCAATAAAAATAGAAAAAAATGTTAATTTGTACATATATATATCATCATTTTCTGCAACAAACACCATTATAGACTTCAAATTCACGTTCATTAATTCAACGAAAGAACCTAAATATTGCAGGTTTACATGAGTCAACTGACAACACAATGGTGGTAATACAACCTCTATTTGGAAAGTACTGATATTCAATAATTTTCTTATAAACAAACAAAGCCATACATACCAGACAGACATGATAAACAAAGACGAAACAATGATCCAAGGTTAGATCATTTGACAGTTGACAGTTTTTGGATACAAAATATTTGATACAACTCGCTATTCACCAATGGTTAATAGGTTAAGAGCAATCATTTTATCAACCAAAAGGGTTCATACTTCAGACGTGAATAACAGACCTTGAATTGGAAATTCAAAGAAAATCACAAATATGTCAAACAATGTATCACTAGAAACTGGTAAGCTAACAGATGGCCATCGTACAAGTCTTAGGTCAACTATATATCGGGTGATTTATTTAAAAAAAAATACAAATACAACCACCTCCATAGAATCTGGGATATACGAGAGATTCGCCAGAAAAATAACAATGTTTTAATGACGTCACATAATGGATCAATACTGCCCAAGCAGACGACAGCTATTATTTCTCAAATTATAATGAGTTTAGTGTATATAAATGGGATGGCATTTCAAATCATTCAAAAGGGAACCGATTCTGATAACTAAACTCTTTTGTTTGTAAATACACAGGATGGGGGTTAATTAACAATCAAGGAAACCAGACTTTCAAATTGAAACCCCATCCCCCCCCCCCGGAATGATATTAAGGGCGGCATTTGTTCCCTCTTGAAACGACGAACATAACGCGGTGTGTGCAGCTGAATATACAATGGCGTCTTATTTTGTTTACAACTTACAAGCGACAGATTCCTTTATTTTTGTATCGCTGCATTTGTCATCAAACTAAAACCACGCGCGGGGTTTAGAGTGAGGCAATGAGTTATATATTTAGCATGACGGTAGTGAAGTAAGAGAAAGAGATCAAGAGAAGATGAAAAAACAGGCACTGAAAATGTGTGAGATGCCATGGGACATCGTCTGCTTGCGCAAATCATGTCCATCCTGTGATCTCACACATCTCAGCAGCGTTCGGAGAGCTCTTCAGGTGCTATGCCGGGGCTGTATTTAAGCGCTGTGTAATTTATAATAATAATTACTTCGAATGTTTCCAAGAATTGAATTTTGATAACCTTGTCGAATCAAAGTTTCAACTTTGCAGTAATGAAAATAAAGTTAGTTTTTAAATCAATGAATATCTACTTTGAAGGTAATACAAAGTTTTGGGAAATTTTGAAAATTTGGTGGATAGTGATTCCTTACAATTTTGATATATTTGGATGCCCCTGTGGATGTATTATAAGCACTAGAAAATTTAGCCCCTAAAACACTTCTGCTTTCGAGAAAAATTGAATATAAAAATTTACCGGTACTCCCGGTAAATTTTGATGAATTTCAAATAGCGCCTACGGCCGTACAATGGTACCTGCGACCGTGAAAATCTCAGAATATGTAGTTGTGATATATTTCAAAACGGGAATAGCTAATCAGTCGCTTTTAGTCAAGAAACATTGTTTTATAACTAAAAAATATCTTGACCTTGAGAGGGAGCTATACAACATAAAGAGTGTATTATTTACAATTTTATAACTTTAGACTCGATTTCAACGGCGACAACAATCACTGAATTATTTAAGAGAGATTCGAACCCTAAACCCTTGGATTGAAAATCAAGTGAATGAACCACGTATACCACGGCACCTCCACAATATATTTTCCGTAGTTCCACTTTATTTTCTAAGGTTAAAACAAAAATACTTCACAACCAAAAATATCTACAAATACAGTTTCATCCATAGATTTCAGGACCATCATTCATGAATTTAAGAATCAAATGCAAAGTTCTCGTATACAGACCACCATTCAAACAACAAAAAACTATATGAATTTAAGAATCAAATGTAACGTTCTCGTATACAGAGTACGGTTGTTGAGGCTCTGACTTCGGTCTATCCTGGCTCCTCTCAGTCTCTACATTGCCATACACGAGTGCGGTGGCGCCTGCTTCCTGCGGATCAGTGACCTCATATGGGTTCTCTTCCGGGTCATGTGTATAGTCGATCTCTACATTGCCATACGTGTGGTCCTCTATCGGGTACGGAAGCTGCTCATAGTTTTCAGTGTGCAGGTATTCACGGATGACATCGTAGACGAAAGCATATTCCTCCTACATAAAATTGTATGGGGAGGTTCTATTTGTTAACTACTTGATATTCGTTGGCAAACAGAGATGGAGAAATGAAGATTACGATTAAAAAAAATAGAATAAAGATGATACTGTAAAATGAGGAAAATACACGAATATATTTTCAAACTAAAATACGTTCTTTAGAGGCTTTATTCCTCACACGTAAAATAGAAGAAAAAACAGTCATAGATTTGACTCCGAGCAAAGTATTTAAAATATCTATTTTGATTTAACTTCTACCACTGCATACCATAGCACAACAAGGGAATACTATTTAAATGTTGTAATTACAGATGATATTTCATCATAGTTCATGTTTCTTATTTATTATTACAGGAGTAATTTGACCTGTGTGATAAAATAACAAATCATTTTTCATACCTCAGTTTGGACGAACTGCATCCTGTCAGCTCGCAGTATCTTGACTGTCTGGAAAATATCGACGGAATCTCCCTCAGCTATCTGAGCGATGCACTCCATAGCAGTGCAAAACACACCTGTTCGCCCAGCACCACTCCTTTAATGTTACATAAAATGTAAACATGTTAAAAGTACAATAATCAAGGTACAATAAGCAAAGACAAATAACCCAAGACTATTGGGCGAAATTATTATTAAGACTTGAATCAAATAGATTTCGTTTATATCAATACATTTCTCGCAACTGGATATCCCTTGATTTCAAAGCATTTCAATTTCTGCATGTTTTTTTTTTTAGAACCCCTGGTTACTTACTATTTAATAAACCTGATTTATATAATAGTACTGTATCTCTAAAGATGGAATCCAATTTGCATACTTTAACTGCTGCTAGCAAGCCCTGCGCGACACGTGCGTTTTTAGATAAACTAATTTACCAAATATTTCCCGGAAATCTTTGTATCATCATGTATTATTCAAAACATATTCTTTTACATGAGTGGTAATAAGAGCTTCCATTTCATTTTTTGAAATTGGGGCGTTTCCAATACTGTTCTTTACCTTTAACAGTTTATATGAGTTCAAAGATGTTTAAATCATTGCCTTGGTTTCCAAAAAATACAGCTAATTTTTGCTGTTGTATTTATGGACCGATCCTGCTTCAGTGGACTTTGCACCAATTGCGATTGTTTAGGATAAGTAAGCATTGAAAAGATCCTAGACTTACAAACAATGGACAAGAATGGAGAATTCATTCATTTTGTTAGTGGAACTTTTGACAGCGCGGATGAGCTTCATCAACGACCTAGCCCCTAATTGTGGATCTGATCCATGTTTAGGCCATCCATGGAACTGGTACTGAGTGACGGTGTGACTCGTCTAAAAGAAAACGAAACAAAACGATCCGTGGAAATGGATGTATAAGGCATATTTGAATCGGTCACAATTTTGCATCTTATCTTTGCGTTCTACCAAAAATTATTGCTTTTCAACTGCCATAATATTTGACAAAAGCTAGATATTCATCAAGTCGCAGTTCGCCCGGTTGGAAAAACTGTTCTGGTTGAAATTCATAATGCGGTTCGCTAAAAATATTAGATTTCTTGATCCGTAAAAACAATCATTTCAAATGAGGGCATCATATCTAAATTCACAGTCTCTTCTTCAACAATCACTGTGTCGTAAAGGAAATATATGAAATAAGACATACTTTGGAGTTTCTGGTAACTTTCAGTTGCCGAATGGTCATGTCCCCATCAGATGACGTTGATAAGGTTGAAACTGAATAGGATCCAAACTGAACCGAGTTAGCATCAGGCCAGTACTGTGCACAGCTCTAGAATGAGGAGAGGCAAGGCTATCGTTAAATGTTCATACACATACATACATGTTAGTCCTTCCTTTTCTGTTCGCTCCTTTCCTGACCTATTACATTTATATCTCTCGCTCTTACAGTTTTTTTAAATAATGCCACAGGTTTCTTGAATTGCAATTACTAGTCACTTTAGCCATGTTAGTTTGTAAATGAGCCTTCTGAACACTGTGAAGATTAGCCTTATGCTAACCAAGTTATCCATTAAAGTCTACTCATACACTACTACTAGTACTACTACTAGTACTACTACTAGTACTACTAGTACTACTACTACTACTACTACTACTTCTATACTACCACTACTACTACTACTACTACTACTACTACTACTTCCTTGGTAATTGGTTGGGTAATCCATTTGGCAGCTCACTCAGGAAGCTATACTGGGATGGTAGGTGAGGCGAGTAACTACAAGGAGTGTCATGAATTGCAGGAATGGTGTGTGGACAAAGCACTCGTTAATTTAGAGTAAAATATGCTAAGTCCAGTGCAAGTAAGAACCAAGCAAGTAAGCTTATATGATGTGGGAACGAACAGGGGGCTGCATCATTCTGATGTACGTAGAGCAGCCTCCTTGAAGTTGGTTATTCCTGTTGCATTGACTGCTGAACCTGGCAGATGATTCTAGATCCTCATTGCTCTCGGGTAGTATGAAAACTTGAAGGAGTCAGTACTTGCAACAGGAATTACATACTTCAGGTTGTGGTCGTGTCCTCCGAAGTATGTAGCAGGGATGACAATAGTTGGTGCAGGTATGGAGACAAGACGGTGATGGATCTTGTAGAGAAGGGTGCATTAGTCGAGGATTCGACGTGTGTGAAGCGTGTCCCACCCTAGAGCTGCCACAAGAGCCGATGGTGATGTGGTGTATCTGTAGTCACGGTACACAGAGCGAGCCGCAATTCTTTGTACTTGCTCTAGCATTTTTGTGATCACTTATTCCGTAGTACTGAAGTTTGGTCGACAGGAGAAGGTGTGGTACTCGATCGCATGCCTCCTTGAACTCCAAGAAGATTATATCAGCTTGGTTGCGCTGCTGAAGGATGGAGGACCAGTCGTGGACGGCTGTTGTCGATTGAGTGGTTGTTGACAAACCCCATCGGAAGCAATGCTTTGCATCGGTGAGGATATTATTTACTACAACATGCTTCGACACATGGCTCAGGATGATGTGTTCCATGACTTTGCAGCAGACGCAGGTGAGTTAGATTGGTCTGTAGTTGGAGGGGCCACACTTTTTTCCCGACTTGTGTATACGGGTAACTAGTTCTTGCTTCAATTGGGCTCGAACGATGCCACTGTTGTAGCTTTGTTGAAACAGGAAGGACAGTGGAGAAGCAATCTCGCGAGCTACCAGCTTTAGGAGCTTGGGTGGAAGTTCATCAGGTCCGCTGGCCTTTGAAGGGTCCAGTTGCTGGAGGCGTTTCTCGACACCGGTCCTGTGAACGTGCAGGTGACCAGTAGTTGGAAAAGGAGAATATCCTTTCTGTACAAGAGAGTGGAGCTGGTGAGGAGTAAAGACGGACTGGAAGTAGTCGTTCAGTGTCTCTGCCTTGTCTAATGCTGAGGCGCATAGCTTAGATGGAGTACGCAAAGTAGGAATACCAATGTTTTCCGATCGACATGTCTTGATGTAGGACCAGAAAGACTTTGGATTGTCCTTAAGGATTGCTCGATAATGTTGTTGATGTACTCACAACGTGCTCTGTGCACATTCTTGGCAACTTGGTTCCTGTATTGTACTACTACTACTTCTAATACTACTACTACTAACACTATTAATCCAGGGAGGAGCTCGAATTGGGTTGTTCAAACAAAGGACCGGTACCCCCTCCCTTCTGCGCCGCTGATGGGAATTCAACATTTATCATGTTAAGTATATGGATTATTTCGTATCAAAAAACAAAAGAAGCAATACAAAATAGCAAGGTCTTTAAATCTCCCAAACTTAAACTAAAACAATTTATTTTAAAATTGACATATGCTCGCACTACTACCTTGTCGTTTTGGCTCTTGTCGTTAAGCATGACGACAGTGGATGGTTTATTGTTGAGGACCAGAGACCAGAAATCAGACACAGTGGTTGGCAGTGGCATCTGGGTTGTCATGAAGGTACAGTGGACTCCCTGAAAGATGAGGGAAGAATAAATACAATTTCCGGTAAAAACATGAGACCCTTGCCACCTACTTCCATTGTCATGAAAGGCTTTATAAGAGCTGTCAATATATTCGAAGCACGGGCACCCTAGGCGGAGAAGGGCTCACTTACTGAACTGCACCCCCCACCCTCCACCCCGTACATGACTATCAATAAAGTTTTATTCCAAGATAGTTTAAATAGATAAAATAATTCTTCTATAATAATTTCTCCTATAGTACATTGTAAATTATAATGGCGACAGTATATGTACATTTAAGGGATATAAATCCCCCCCCCACTCAGTGTTATTTAAGGTACGCATATGCTTGTCCCCTCTTTTTGAAAGCACCCCTATCTGAGGACTGCCAACATTTCCGAACCCCCCCCCCCCTTTCGCGGGCTTTTTTGCAGGCTTTTCCTGCCTTGAAGACCCCCCTAAATCTGGAAAATGCTCAAGTACTTCCCTAAATTCGGAAGTTATTTCTCAGAAGTTCAAAGAGATGAGAGAAAAAGAAAAAAAACATCCCCTTTTTAAAGAAATCTCCGGGTCGGAAGTCAAATACACCCGTTTTATACAATTCTCGGGCCGGACTTTGTCGCACGAAAAGTACCCCTTTACCGGACATTTTGGTAACACGCATGGTATCCCTCCGTTCTCGGAGTAGGGGGGGGGGGGGAAGGGTATAAATTGATCCAGAATTCAATGACAATGAGTGTCACTATTATTGCATATAAAAACTGGAAAATATAGATAATATTTTAACACCCATCCATCTAACCGTGCATTCAAAAGTTCCCCTTTCGTATTAAACGAAGTCCCAAAAATACGATGGGAAACACAATTAAATACTTGTTTGTGCTAAGTATTAATAATATCAATAATACAAGGTGTCTACAGTTTCTTATGTTGAACGCGAGTCAAATGAAGATCTAAACGGTATCGATGGCATTTAATCCCTCAGTGTTTCTGACACTAAATTGCAGTGTAAATTGAATCACTTGATTCACAAAGAACATCTCACCTTCATTTGACTAGCATTGATGTAATCATGATCTGGGGAGTCTAGCATCACACGATTCCTCTGCACTAGAATGGTATGGAAACAAAAGAACATTTCAAACAGCGTTACGCTATTACCCTACAACTCAACATTTACACTAAAACAAGTACGAGTATTAAAGTCTTTCACATTGTTTGATAGCGATTTTGGATTTTAGGTATGTATGTATTCAATTTTTGCTCTTTGAGTCTCGTTATACATGACATGCATAGGGATGGATCAAAGTAGAGGTGGGATCACCAGCCCCCCCCCCCCCCCCAATCCTCCTCACCCTCTTCATCTTATGTGATATCACCTCTCCACCTTCGAATTGAATTTAACGTATTCAAAGCTTTGAGTATCCCCCAAACCCTACACCATTCCAACCTTAACTGCACCGTCTCCTGACAATCTTGAGATCCCCGTATGTTGTTATTTCATTTGCTCACGACAACGTCATACATTTCACCACGGCGTTCAAAATCTCATTTGGCAAGATTCTACGATTTACATATTATGTCCACTGACGAAAATTCCGGGGTTTAAATGGTGTGTATGTGTTTGTTTGTGTGTGTGTATTTGTTGGTATCCTAACATTACTTACATGGTAGGTTGTTTCCGTATCTATTCTTGGGGTGATTATCTCGAGTGCGTCCTGATCTTGTTTGAGAAGCTGGAGGATCTGGACAGAGGCTCTTCAAAGTCTGATTTAATCAGAGAATATGATGTTTACGTCACGAATTAGTTTGATCGTCATATACTTTAGTTCTGGTATATTTTTCGCGCATGCAGAAATAAAGATTCAATTTTAATATTAGCAACGTTCATTCTGCGCATTTTATCCACCCAAAGGGATTTTTAAGTTATTAACAAAATCGTATTACTATCTTGGCTATAGCCTAGCTGCTTCAAGGTTCAAAGCATTCAAGGAATTACAGTTACTTCTAAGTAGGCACTCATTCACCCAACATAAGTTTAGATAGTGATGCGTGTGAGATTCGAAAAAACACCATTCATTTGAATTACAGTTCAGTGATTAACGGATCACGACATCCCTAACATTTCCATTCTAAGAGCGCAAGAGCAGGTTTGTAAATGGGATATTTTCTCTTTCTCCATGAGTTGTTTCCACTGGGGCGAGGCCATTCCTGAAAAATAGTTTCATTGAAATATCCATATCTCTCTCTCTCTCTCTATTTCAGGTTTTTTGAACGCTCCG